ATACAAAAAAAGAAAACTATAGACCCATATCCTTAATGAACATAGATACAAAGATACTCAACAAAATACTTGAAAACCGCATACAGACACACATCATAAAGATCAACCACCATGATCAAGTCACCTTTAGTCCAGAGACGCAGGGATGGTTCAACATATGTAAGTCGGTAAATGCAAGAAAACATATAAATGGACTTAAAGACAAAAGCCACTTGGTCCTCTCAATAGATGCAGAAAAGGCATTTGACAAAATCCAACATGCATTTGTGTTAAAAATCCTAGAAGGAATTGGTTGGAGGGAACTTATCTTAACATACTTAAAGCTATATACAAACCCATAGCCAACATCATCCTAAATTGAGAAAAACTGGAAGCATTTCTTCATACAGACACACATCAAAAAGATCAACCACCATGATCAAGTCAAGCTTTAGTCCAGAGATGCAGGGATGGTTCAACATATGCAAGTCGGTAAATGCAAGAAAACATATAAATGGACTTAAAGACAAAAGCCACTTGGTCCTCTCAATAGATGCAGAAAAGGCATTTGACAAAATCCAACATGCATTTGTGTTAAAAATCCTAGAAGGAATTGGTTGGAGGGAACTTATCTTAACATAATTAAAGCTATGTACAACAAACCCATAGCCAACATCATCCTAAATTGAGAAAAACTGGAAGCATTTCTGTTAAAATCAAGAACCAGACAGGGCTGTCCCTATCTCCACTCCTTTTCAATACAGTGCTTGATACTCTTGCAAGAGCAATAAGACAAGAAAAGGAAATTAAAGGAGTACGAATTGGAAAAGAAGAAGGCAAATTATACCTATTTGCAGATGATATTATATATAGGAAATCCCAAAAATTCCACTAGAAAACTGTTAAAATTGATAAATACTTGTAGTAAAGTGACAAGATACAAAATCAACTAACAAAAAACAGTACCCTTTTTATACACCAATAACAACCAATCAGAAAAAGCACTTGAGGAAACACTCCCAATCTCAAAAGTCTAAAAAAAAAAAAAAAAAAAAAGCAGGAAATTAAAGGAGTAACAATTGGAAAAGAAGAGCTCAAATTATCCCTTTCGCTCCCAATCTCAAAAGTCTAAAAAAAAAAGGATAAACCTAACCAAAGACATTAAAGATCTCTACAATAAAAAATTTAAAACTCTAAAGAAAGAGACTGAGGAAGACTCTGGGAGATGGTAAGACCAACCATGCTCATGGATTAGTAGAATCAATATTGTGAAAATGACCATCTTACCAAAAGCAATTTACAGATTAAATGCAATCCCAATCAAAATACCCATGACATTCTTCACAGAGTTTGACAAAACTATCCTAAAATTTATATGGAATCGCTGGGTGTGGTGGTACACACCTTTAATTCTAGCACTTGGGAGGCAGAGGCAGGAGGATGTCTGTGAGTTTGAGGCCAGCCTCGTCTACATAGTGAGTTCCAGGCCAGCTGAGCTACAGGGAGACCCTGTTTCAAAAAGACCAAAAAGAAAAAAAAAATTATAATGAATCACAAAAGACCATGGAAGTCAAAACAATCTTGGGCAAAAAGAACAATGCTGGGGGATCACCATACCAGATCTCAAAATAAATTACAGAACTACAGTCGTAAAAACAGCATGGTACTGGTACAAAAATAGACATGTAGATCAATGGAACACAACAGAAGACTCAAATATGAGTTCATATAATTTCAACCACCTGATATTTGACAAAGGTGCTAAGAACACACAATGGAGGAAAGATGCAGAAGACCCAAATATGAGTTCGTATAATTTCAACCACCTGATATTTGACAAAGGTGCTAAGAACACACAATGGAGGAAAGATAGCATCTTCAACAAATGGTGCTGGCAAAACTGGAGAAGATTGAAACTTGACCCTTATCATTCAACCTGCACAAAAGTCAACTCCAAATGGATTAAAGACTTCAATATAAAACCAGAAACTCAGAAATTGCTAGAAGAAAACACATGCAGTACCCTCCAAGATACAGGTGTAGGAAAGGACTTTCTAAATCAGACACCAACTGCTCATGCACTAAGGTCTACAATCAGTAAGTGGTACCTCATTAAATTACAAAGTTTCTGTATGGAAAAGAAAGAACCAAGGAAGGGAAGGGGAAGCCCAGTGAGTGGGAGAAAATCTTCAACTGCTACACATCTGACAGAGGATTAATATCCAGAATATGCAAAGAACTCAATAAAGAAAGAAATAAGATAAACAGCTCAATAAAAAGATGGGCAGTAGACCTAACAGAGAGTTCTCAAAGAAATAAGAATGGCTAAGAAGTACCTTAAAAAGTGCACAGCATGCTTAGTAATTAAAGAAATGCAGATTAAAACCACTTTAACATTCTATCTTGCCCAATCAGATGGGTAAAGATCAAGAGAAGAAAAGCTGCCAAATGTTGGAGAGAATGTAGAGAAAGAGGAACATTCATTCACTGCTGGTGGGAATGCAACCTCATGCAACCACTATGGAAAGCAGGAAACTAAAAATGAAGCTACCATATGATACAGTGATACCACTCCTTGGCATATACCCAAAGGACTCATCCTACTGTAGAGATACCAGTACATCCATGTTTGTTGCTGCTCAAGAGGTAAGAAATGGGAATAACTTAAATGTCTCTTAACTGACAACTCATTAATGAAAATGTGGTACATCTACTCAATGGAGTTCTACTCAGGAGTAAGAACAGATGAAATTATGAAATTTGCAGGTAAATGGACAGAGCTAGAGAGTGTTATTCTATGTAACACAAATGCAGAAAAGCAAGCAATGTATGTTCTCCCCTACTTGTGGATTGTAGCACCAATCGCTTATATGTGCATATATAAATTCCGATGTAATACCAGGAACCAGGTAAAGGAAAAGGATACATGGAGGTAAAGGAAAAGAAACAACCTGAAAGGGGGATAGTAGAGAACAGATGTTACCTGAGGGAGGTGGAAAAAATAGGAGTAACTGAAACAGAAGCGAAGAAGGAAGGACATGCAAGGGACCACTGTGTGGAGGAGGGGAGGAAGTCAGGAGAGGAAAGATGGCAGGAATCGGGAGGTATTGGGAGGAAGGTGGGGATACTGGGGGCACTGTGACTAGGGAGGGAGAAAGGAGGGAAGCTGCATGGGAGAAAAAAGATTGGAGATGAGTGAATCTCAGGGGGCTAGGAAACCTAGAGGCAAAAGTGATGCCCTAGAAATCCTTTGAGAAATGCCCATAGTTTCTGAACATTAATGTATATATATTTCTGGGAGCTGAGTGGCAGGAAACACAGTGCCAGACAGAAGAGACCTCCCTTAGAGTGACAAGCACTCGTCAAAGAACTTTCTTTTTGAACAGATGGAAGCTACTGCAGAGTTGCACATCTAGTCAGGCACAGAGAACATATCTCTGGGAGATGCCCAGTACTAGGTGACACATGTGCAGTTGAATCTCTACAACTAAGGCTCATGGAACATAGCAGAACAAGGGGTAGGGAGAGGGCTAATGCACCCCTCAACTCCCTCCAGTGAGGCTTCCTTGTACATCAGGGTGTGATGCATATGGAAGGCCACAACTGGCCAAGCTTTGGAGAATAAGAGACTGTGGAGTGTAGGATGGACTCCTGTACAGAACCTTGCCCACCCACAGCTCAGGGACCACTGCGGAAGAGGAGGCAGAAAGACTGTAAGAGCCAGGGCTGGTTCATGAACATAAGGAGGTGGAGGCTTTCAGGACACTGATGTGAGCCTGTGGCAGTGTTGGCATCAAGCACAGGACCCATGTCAGCTCAATTAAACAAGGGCCCAAAGGGGAGGTGAAAAATAGGTGGCAGACCAGTACTAGTTTGAGAACTATTTGAGACTGATTGCAGATGGGTATGGAAGAATATGACTTACGTTTACCACTGGATAGGCTGACCAGACTCCAGTGGACACATTTACACTGAAGGACATTTAGGTACAAATACCTAAATGAATAGGACTTAGCATGTAAGGCAGAATGCGTAGGGTTCAGTGGGGGAGAGAGGGAGGCATGGATGATGGAGGGGGGTCTGGATTTGAGTAGGAAATGTATGAAATTTAAAAACCTCAATAAACAAATATACAAAAAAGAAAATGGTACAATATATAGGAGAGATCAAATATGATGGGGCCTCTCTCTAAAACCTGGAGAGAGGACTGGAGAGGTGACTCAGTGGTGACAAGTGCATACTGATCTTACAGATGACCTGAGTTCGATTCCCACCAGTCATATTAAGCTACTCACAATATGTAATTCCAGCTCCCAGGGAATCTCTATCATCTGATGACCGTGGACACGTGCACTGAGTGCACACACATACATATACACAAATACGTATATAATAAATAATTTACACTTTTTAAGGAAAGAAGCCATAACCTCAAGAGTGTGATTTAGAGTAAAAACAAGTCAGATAGGAGACACACACACAGTGAGAGAGAGAGAGAGAGAGAGAGAGAGAGAGAGAGAGATAGTTAGTGTGAATGTCTAGATTCTTTCCTTTATGCCACT